TAATTTCCCTTGGGGAGTGGGGGAATTCCAAGCCTCAAAAGAAGACTGTCCAGGGCCTCCCACCAAAACATATTTTAGAACCTGTCGTAAGGTTTAGCCTCATCACTTTATTCCAGTAGCAACTTAGGGCTTTTCATATAGTGGGAGATCTATACAGAAGGACAGCCAGCTCATGAGCCGCAAAACCTCTAATACCATTCCCCTCAAACCCATCTAGAATATCTTTCAGTTCCAGTGAGTAAGCAACCCCTCGCACCTACTCGAAGAGGCAAATCCAGTCACCACAGCCTGTGTTCCATCAGCCAAGACACTGATAAGAGTATTTTAAATTTTGGGACCCCCCCCCCCCCCCGTTTTCTCCACTTAGTATATTTTCCAGTGTTGCTAACCAACAAGTTGTGAACCCATCTAATGGGGTTTTGAGATTATTAAGGCCAAGTCATTACTATTATGAGAATTCCATGAGTTTCATTTTCTAAGTCAGTGGCTATTAAGTGGAAAATATGCTAAGACCCAAAGTCCCCAAATTACTATCTTTATTTCCCCTTCACTCTAATTTTAACCAGAGGTCATTCTCATTAAAAAGCCTCTGGGGTCTTTGATAAATGTAAGTTTTATACTCGCTGAGAGATCCTTGGCCCTTTCCTGTGGCTGCACTCATGCCAGTCATCCAGCTGCTATCAATTAACATTCCATCAATTTCTCTGTCAGTTTGGGTTAGGCTTGACTGAGTCACAGGTACAGTCTACTTGGCAACATTTTGATTTCACAATGTGCTCACCACAGTAGAGTTAGAATCTTTAATGAAGTTTCATTCAAATACAAAAACATTTATTGAGCACTTATTATGTGAAAGGCTCTATAAGTTTGACCTCATTCCAATGACACACAACTTCATTGTTCTAATTAGTGATGGCTAAACTAATTTTCTAAAAAGAGATTATTAAACTATAATTCTGTGTTAGATCAAGAACAACTTTTTGGCCTTTGTTAAAGAATTACATGAATGATAGAAAAAGGAAAGGAAAGGAATAGAAGGGTAAGAAAGATAATAAAGAAGGAAAAGAAACATAAGAATAAAAGAGACAAGAAAGCGAAAAAGAAAAGAAAGTATCAGGAACAAGTGAAAAGAAAAATACAATGACAAAAAAGAAAAATGGAAAAGGATTAAAAAAAATAAGAAAGGCAACAGAGAAGAAAGAGAGAAGGAGAGAGAGGGAAAAAGTCAAAAAAGAAATCAAGAATAAAAGGAAGCAAGGTACTTTTATCTTCTTCAATGTGCTGAACTAAATAGCTAGAAATTTTCTCCTGGTACAACACACTTTAAAATATCAGATGAAAGATATTTATATATTAAAAAATTAACAAGTTATTAAATGGATAGTTTATATAGCAAGAAAGTTAGGAAAATCCTTAGAGGCCCTAAATCACAAGAAAGCATGAATTTAGAGGGCAAGCTAACACTGAAGCCAAAGGTTGCACTAAAAAACATCTGGCAATCCCTGATGGTTTATGGGAAAGGGGGCATAGGAAAAAAGCACAAGGCCCATGCAAGGTGAGCCAGATCAGAGACTCTCACAGAAAGCAAGACACCTGAAAGGTAATACTCTTAGTGGGAAAAATAGAAAACAAAGAAACCAAAGCTCCACAGAGGAAAACTATAAAGAAACTTGTATGTCTCAGACTCACCTCAGGTAGAACTGAATAAAAGTTCTCTCCTGAAATTTCTAACCAAAATCATGGTATGAAGTTCAATTTCTATTTGATGCAAAAATATATATTTTTTTTAATTTAAAGGGTTCTCAGGTTAGAAAGTCTCCCAGACACGTTGCAAAAGCAAACACGGTTCTTTGCAGAGTAGCATACCTTAATTAAGCCCAGGCTTCAGTGAATTCCTAAGGATAAAGTTCTGAAGCACTTGAGTTCTCATCAAAAAACATCTTCAGACTTGTAAATAAACAAAACATCAACAGTCAGAGGCAGAAGAAACATTAAACTTCAGAATTATATCTACAAAAATTGCATATGTTAAAACAACCAAAAGCTAACATAAAATAACTTTAATATGCTTAAAATTAAAAATGAGGGCTATTGAAAATATAGCAAGGAATAAGAGTTTATAAAAAATAGCAAGAAATCATTTTTTGAAAACCACATAAAATATTTAGAAACTAAAATCAGAAATCCAATGACAAGTTAAACAGCAGATTAGATACAGCTGAAAAGAGACTTTGTAAAGTGAATAGCAGGGCTGAAGGAATTAACTAGACTGCAACTCAACAGATACAGAAATACAAAATATGAAATGGAAGTGAGAGCCAGAGAGCATGGGTTGAGAAGTCTTAACTACATCTAATCAGAGTTTCAGAAGGAGATAATGGGGAGAGGCAATATTTTGAACAGATTATAGCTGAGACTCTAGAATCTACTAAACTAATGAATCTTCAGATTCAGGATCCCCAGTGAATCCCAAGCAGAATAAAAACAAACATATCTTCACCTAGAGGCATTGTAGTGAGATTGTCTAACATCAGTTTAAAAAGATGATGCTCTTGGAGCTGGCCTGGAGATGTAGTGGTGAGTTCACATGCTCCACTTTGGTGGCCCAGGGTTCACAGGTTTGGATCCAGGGAGTAGACCTACACACCACTCATCAATCCATGCTGTGGAGGCATGCCACATACAAAATAGAGGAAGATTGACACAGATGTTAGCTTAGGGACAATCTTCCTCAAGCAAAAAGAGGAAGATTGGCAACAGATGTTAGCTCAGGGCCAATCTTCCTCCCAAAATAAATAATAAAAAGATGATGATCTTAAAAGTAACCCCCCCTCCTGAAAAAAGAGCAGCCAGAGAGTAAAAAGAACAGATTACTTTCAAAGGAACATCAATTAGTCCAAAAACTGATTTTTCGCAAACAATAAAAGCAGGAAAAGGGAATAATGTCTCAAAGAATTGAATTAAATTGTCAATTTATAAATCTGTACCCAGCAAAGTTCTCTTTTAATATAGAATTAAAAAAGAAATTTAAAAAAGAAACTTTCAGACAAACTTAAGGAATTAACTTCCAACATATCTTTACCAAAGGAACTTCTAAAGCAAGTATATCAGAAAGAAAGAAAATAATCTCAAAGGGAAGGTCTGAAATGCAAGAAGAAATGCTAATGAGAAAAATAATAAGAATATAGATAAATCTCAACAAACAATAACTTCATAAAACAATTATAACATCTAACTTATGGGATTACATTTTAAGTGAATTAAAATTTTGCACAGCAAAAGCATAAAATATCAAAGTTGAAAATAGAAGGATGAAAAAGACATACTAGGTGGGGCTGGCCCCGTGGCTGAGTGGTTAAGTTCGCGCGCTCCGCTGCAGGAGGCCGAGTGTTTCATTGGTTCGAATCCTGGGCGCGGACATGGCACTGCTCATCAAACCACCCTGAGGCAGCATCCCACATGCCACAACTAGAAGGACCCACAATGAAGAATATACAACTACGAACCGGGGGGCTTTGGGGAGAAAAAGGAAAAAGATAAAATCTTTTTTAAAAAAAAAAAAGAAAAAGACATACTAGGCAAATACTAGTGAAAAATCTGGCATAGCTATGTTAAAAATGGAAGAGGAACACATTACTGAAGATAATTAAGGCCACCATATAGTTTTTAAAAGTTTTAGTAAACCAGGAAGGAATAAAAATTCTAAATGTATGTAAATACAATAAGATAGCATCAAAATATATAAAGAAAAATTGAGATGACTACAAGGAGAAATTGATTAATTCACTGTCTTAGCAAGAGATTTCATATACCTCTTAAAATATTTACAGATTGAGTGAACAATAAAGTGTAAAGATGGAAAATTTAAACAAAAACATTTGTCAAACTTAATCAAATGATCACATACGGAACATGGACCCCAAAAATGGATAATACACATTTTTTTAAAACATGTAAGGAACAAATTGAAAGGAAATGGGATGATACTGAGTGTAAATCAATCTAATAGATAAAGAAGTAAAGAGAGAACTAACGCCTCCTCCTGAGTTATAATCCTTGCCCTAAGTACTAGCTGGTAGCTATTCTACATAAGAATGAAACTCCTTCCTAGAATCTTAGGGTGGAGGAACTTCAGGGTTGTCTACTCCAACCCTATGTCTAATACAAAAGTCTCCACAACATTCCCCTAGAGCCCTAATCTAGCTTCTGTTTACATTTCTCCATGAAGGGGAACTATGGTGGTCCCTGAGCAGCCCTACCATGTCCAGCCCCTCCCAGCCTTTCACAGGTTGTCATGCCTGCAAAAGAGTCATTCTTTCACAGCAGCAATTCAACTGTACGTCTGAGATAACTAGTCATTATCCTGGAGTCTGTGGACAATGTCACAGGATGGGTCTGGTGAAGATGTAAGAAATTCTACCCAGAATCCAAAAGGTCTAGTGACAGGGCTTACTAAAAACAGGGGTATAATCATACAAGGCAATTGTGTGGCGTTTCAGGATAATGTGGTTAGGCTTTGTAAGCCCACTCAGAGCTTCTTGCAACCTGGAAGTACCTTAGCTTGGACTAACAGAATACTATACACATCTCCCATTAAGTTTTAAAAACTCATAATGGAAAACATATAATGAAAAACAGCAAAATGCTGCCCATCCTTTCCTGCTCCTAATTCTTGTCCTCCGGGGACAACAATTTTTAATTCCTTTATTTACCTACAAATTTTTTAATAATGTGGTCATATTAATTTTTCTTAGTTCTACATTTTATCTATTTCCAACAATAGAAGATAAAGATTTTGGGGCCGGCCCCATGGCCAAGTGGTTAAGTTTGAGTGCTCCACTTCCATGGCCCAGGGTTTTGCCAGTTCAAATCCTGGGTGCAGACATGGCACCATTCATCAAGCCATGCTGAGGAGGCATCCCACATGCCACAACTAGAAGGACCCACAACTAAAAATACACAACTATGTACCAGGGGGCTTTGGGGAGAAAAAGGGAAAAAGAAAATCTTAAAAAACAGATTTAGCTCTTACCCCGACATACATACATAATTTTCCTCCCTGATAATCTCAATATAGCTTCTTACTCTTTTTGCTTAAATCAGTATAGTGTTTATTATAATAACATAAATATTATTCAGGGCTGAACCTATAGTTTACAATGATAAGATTTCTTTCCATGAGCAACTTTTTGTTTTCTGTAGAGGAAATATCATCTTTTAAATTTCCTCAATTTTTATCTCGCTCTCACTATGTCATCCACAATTCTTCAGCAAAACTAAAAATATTCTCTAAAGTTCAAACTCATCAGGTATTCCCTAAGTTTCATTTTTCTTTGAGGATTTTCTCTCTCCGCTATCTCCATCCTTTTCCATTATTCTAGACTGATGGCCCTCTAGGTTCACTGTACCACTGGGACTTCCCTTCAAACCATTCTGGGAATTTCCTTTTTTCCCAGGAATTTCCTTCCTTCTCCACTGTGTTGCATCCTTGATCCCTTAATCCCACGCCTTCCACTTTCTTTGCTTGCCATCTTGTTTTGATGATGCACATCCCATAATTATTTCCAAAAGAAAATAAATTCTTAAAGATATTGTATCATTCATCTTATTGACAGTTAGGCTGAGTATTGAATTATGAATTGAAAATCCATTTCCATCAGAATTTTAAGGGCACTCTTCCACTGTCTTCTAATTTTATTCGTTGCAGCTGAGAGGTCTCACGCCCTTCTGATTCTTGATTCTTATTCTATAATGTCTCTTCATGTGAACATCTATGTGAGAATCCAAAAAAATTTATATGTCAAATAATAGGAAAACAATTAATTTGGGTAACTTCATATAATTTAGCCATTAAAAATCATATTTTAGGGGCTGGCCTTGTGGTGCAGTGGTTAAGTTCACACACTCTGCTTTGGCAGCCTGGGGTTCACAGATCCCAGGCACAGACCTACACACCGCTCATCAAGCTACACTGTGGTGGCATCCCACATACAAAAAAAATAGAGGAAGATTGGCACAAATGTTAACTCAGGGACAATCTTCCTCAGCAAAAAAAAAGAGGAAAATTGGCAACAGATGTTAGCTCAGGGCCAATCTTCCTCACCAAAAAAATAAAATCATATTCTAGAAAAATATTTAATGTCATAATAAAATCACCATGATGAAAGAGATAATATATTAATGTTTTAAAATAATGAAAGATAATTAACCAAAATATTAAAAGTGGCACTACTGTATGATAAACTTTTGGGAGTTTCCTATTTTAGTAACATCTCATTACCGACTGAATGTTTGTGTCCCCCCAAATTCATATATTAAAGCCCTAGCCCCCAATGTGATGGTATTTGGGGTTAAGGTCATGAGGGTGGGGCCCCAATAATGAGATTAGTGCCCTTACAAGAAGAGGACAAAAAACTAGAGCTCGCTCTCTCTGTCTCTCTCAATGCCATGTGAGAACACAGGGAGAAGGCAGCTGTCTGCAAACCAGGTAAAGGGTTCTTAACAGGAATCAAATCTGCCAGCACCTTAATCTTGGACTTCTCAGTCCCCAGGACTGTGGGAAATAAATGTCTGTTGTTTAAGCCCCCTAGTCTATAGTATTTTGTTATAGCAGCTGAAGCTGACTCATATACGTCTATATTAAAAAAATTTCTGGAACCTGTGTTTATTTTTACAGTTGGGTTTGAAAAAGTGTCCTAATGTCATGTTAAAGTCCTTAAATCAGTAATAAATATCATGATTACATTGGAAAAATCAATAAAGGAGCATGTTAATCTATATCTTTATAAATGTGGTTTTAATCCTATATTTCCAACCTTTTATTATAAATATTTCCTAACATATAGCAAAGTTAAAAAAAAATTTGTCAGTGAAAAACTGTATACCTACTACCTAGATTGTACCAGTAACATTTTACTATGCTTGCTTCATCACATATCAATCTGCCTGTCCATTCCTCTAGCCATACATTAATCTCTCTTACTTTTTAATATATTTCAAAATAAGTAGCAGACATCAAGACACATGTTTCAGCATGCATGTTATTAACTAGAGTTCAATATTGTTTGTAGTACTTTTCTTTACAGGTAAAATTCATATCCAGTAAAATGTAAAAATCCTAAATGTACATTCATTGACTTTTGACAAATGCATATATCTGTGTAACCCAAATTGCTATCAAGATATAATATCACTGTATCACTTCATTAAAATGTAAAACACCTGCAACCATATAGGTCCACTTATCAGCCACCTCCATCCTTTTTGCTATAATTGTTACATGTCTTGCATCTACATACATTATAAACGTCACAAACCCATGAAATGTTATAAATTTTGTTTAAAACTGTCACATATTTTAAAGAAATTGAGAAAAAATAGTATTTTATATTTACCAGTTCTAATGCTCTTCCTTCCTCCCTCCTTTCCTCTTTCCCTCCCTGCCTTCCTTCCTCCCTCCTTCCTTCTTTTCTTCCTCCCTCTTTTCCTTCCTTCCTTCCTCCCTCCTTCCCCTCACTCATTCCTTCCTTTCTTTCTCCCTCCTTTCCTTCCTTCCTCCCTCCTTTCCTCTTTCCCTCCCTGCCTTCCTTCCTCCCTCCTTCCTTCTTTTCTTCCTCCCTCTTTTCCTTCCTTCCTTCCTCCCTCCTCCCCCTCACTCATTCCTTCCTTTCTTTCTCCCTCCTTTCCTTCCTTCCTCACTCCTTCCTTCCTTCCATCTTTTCTTCCTTCCTTTCTTTCCCCTTTCCTTCCTTTCTAAAGAACCAGGTTTCCATCTGGCCTTATTTCCCTTGAGCCTGAAGAACGTCTTTTGGCATTTCTTTGGTGTAGTTCTGCTGACAAAAAGTTCTCTGAATTTCCTTAGTACTTTTTTATCTGAAAATGTATTTGCCTTCATTTCTTGAAAAACCTTTTTTTAATATAGAACTTGTTGATACAGAATTTTGGGTTGACAGAGTTTTTTTTTTTTCTTTCAGTTCTTTAAAGATGTTTGTTAATTGTCTTCTCTCCTCATTGTTCCTAAGACTCCAGTGGTCATTCAAATTATTGCTCCCCTTCATGTGATATACTGTTTTTCTCTGGCTGCTTTCAAAATTTTCTCTTTATCCTTAGTTTTCAGCAGTTTGTGCTCTGGCTTGGGGTTTGCTGAACTTTTATAAACTGTAAATTTATAATTTACACAAAATTGGGGTGTTTTGGCTATTATTACTTACAATGTTTCTTTGTGTCACATCTGCTTTATTTCTCTCTTTTGGGCCTCCAATTACACATATGTTAAACCTTTTGATATTATAGCACAAATCCCTGAGGTTCTATTTCTTTTTTTTTTTTTTAATGTTTTTGCTCACTGTACTTCAGATTAGATAATTCTCTTGATCTATCTTCAAGTTCAGTGGCTCTTTCCTCTGTTATGTCCTTCTCCTACTAAGCCTATTAAGTAAATTTTATATTTCAGGTAACTTAATTTTCAGTTCAAGAATTTGTTTGGCTCTATTCATGGTTTAGTTCCTTGTTGGAATTTCCTATCTTATCACTCATTGTAAGCATGTTTTCCTTTACATCGTTGTGCATAGTTATAATAGCAGCTTTAAAATCCTGGTCTGCTAATCCAAAAGCTGGATCATATCAGGTTTCATCTTTGTTGACTGTCATTTTTCTCAAGAATAGATCTTTTTTTTTTTTGTTGTTCCTATTACGTTGAGTAATTTTGGATTATATCCTAGACATTGTGAACATTATCAAAGGAAACTCTGGATTCTGTTATATTCCTCTGAAGAGTATTACTTTTTATTTTTTTGTTTTGGTTTGGCAGGCAGGTAACTTAGTTGGACTTAAACTCAAACTCTTGTCTCTTGGGCATTAGCCCAAATCTCAGTTCAGTTATTTTATTCTTAGTCAAGCTACTTAGAATCTGTCCCACCCATGCACAGTTCAGAGATTTTAGCAGAATTTTTACACAGAATTTTTGGTTCCCCTCTCTCTGGCTCTCTCATTGCCAGGATAGCTCCCTCACTTTCCAGTGGCTGTGGTTGCCTTAAACTCTGTTCTCTGATTCTTCAGGCCAGAAAGACTATTAGTTTTCTATAGGCATTTTAGCTGCCTATATAGGCAACTGTGGTCTGCATTGAGGCTAAAAGCTGTAAAAAAAAGACAAAGAAAACTCACCCTTTTCCATTTCTTTTTCCAAATGCCAACCATTCTCCATAATCTGTTTAATTTTTCTCAGTCTCCATTGCCTCCAGGTAGTCTTTGTTCGTTTGTTTTATCTTGCCCAGACTTTATAGTTGTTATGTCTGAGAGGAACCAGTCTAGTAGGATCTTGATCAGACATTCCTGAAGTGAGTCAACCATTGTGGGAGATTTTAATTTTCTTTTTAAGACCTTGATATATTGTCCACCTTGAACAAAAGTTACTTCTATAATCAGGAAATTTTTTTATTATATTAATATTCTATCACAAATGAAAACTTTCCATACAAAATAATGAAACTTTACATTTATATGGAGAGGATGGAGAAGTAGAAATTCTTTTGAGAATGACAGTGAAAGTTTGAGCAGAATGAAGCAGACTTGAAAATTGCACAGCAAGAATTCAGACCACGAAACAGGAAAGTCTCAAAGCCAAAGGATACCTCTGAGCTGGTGTTGCACCCACTGGCAGTAGCAAGGAGGAAGGCAAACCAGAGCTTACCTTGTCAGTATTTTCATCTCTAGGTATCCTTGTTAACACTTACACTTCCCTTTCTGGTGCAAGACCCTCCCCTCCCAGAGTACCCATAGCCCATAATACACTTACTGAATTTGATTTCTAATTTCCTCCAAGGCAGAAGTCTCTCCTCAGGATGAGCATCTGAGTGGACAGCTGTAGGCTTTCTATTTCCACAGGAACAGTAGGTTTATATGTTCAATATCATCATTAGTGATAAAAGAATCTACTCGAAACAAACTGTGCGATCTTGGGTGAGTCATTTCCCCTTTCTGGGTCTTAGTTTCTTCACCTGAAAAATGAGAAGCAGGAACTAACAGAACTTTAATTTTTTTATCTTTGAAATTCTACATAATGGCACTTAAATTTTATAGAACGTGAACATGCTTTAAATATATCTTTAAATTCTTTTTTCCTCCAAAATCTACTATCCTATACCATACTTAGGGTATCCTGTGCTATATAAAAATCCACTAGAGGGGAGTAAAACATTGGATGAGAACACACCACAGCTCAGCTTGGGTATCCTGCATAAATTATATTTGCAACTGTTGCCTAATGTCTGTTGTTTCCAATCAATCCCACTTAATTGCTTTAAAATGCGAAGATGCGAGGGAATCACCATTTACATGTAGAAATCTTCTGCTCTGTGGAATAAAGCCCCAAGCCTGAGGCTAGAAGTCTTGTACTCTTTCAGGCTCCTTGCTGATGGAACAAGAGCAGTTCCTTAGAACAAGCATGCCTGTTCCATGTCTCATTTTCTTTTATTTACAACTGAGTTGCAGTCACCAAAAAGATTCCCTAATCCTTAATTCAGAAGAGCTGCTTCATCTTGGAAACTAATTCTTCCTGAAAGGCCAGAGCAACCCCAGTGGTTCCAACCCTTGAATAGGTCAATATTTAAAGAGACCTCAGAACCTTGTCTGTGTTCCAAGTTCTTTGCACTTGAGAGCTGAAGGAAAGATTCCTTAGGTGGGGGTCCCCTCACATTAAGATGATTAGAGACCACTGGCTCATTGGTTTAATACTTTTGCTTTGAAGAAATATAATTTTAACATAATTAGTTCATCTTCTTCTCTTTCAAAATTTTAAAAAGAGATCTGGGCCCCTGCTTCTTATTCTCAGGGAGCTAGTTTCTGGGCAAAGGAAAGAGCGACAGAGGCAGAAGGAAGGTGGTGCCCTGGTGGGGCTCCACAGGAGCATCAGCTCAGAGGGCCAGGTATTAGGAGAATCCAGTCACACACTTGTTCTTTGAGTTCTATTTCTGGAGGGTTTTTTTCTCTTTTTTTTGAGGAAGATTAGCCCTGAGCTAACTACTGCCAATCCTCCTCTTTTTGCTGAGGAAGACTGGCTCTGAGCTAACATCCATGCCCATCTTCCTCTGCTTTATGCGTGGGACGCCTACCACAGCATGGCTTTTTGCCAAGTGGTGCCACATCCACACCCGGGATCCAAACCGGTGAACCCCAGGCCACTGAGAAGTGGAACGTGCAAACTTAACCGCTGCACCGTGGGGCTGGCCCCTGGAGGGTTTCTTAATTTTATAGTTTCTTAGTAGTTGCAGAATGATAAAGTAGAGAGAGCATTAACTTTGGAGTCAGTCAGATGAATCCTAATCAACGAATGGACTTCTGTGTGACCTGGGGCTATTTATGTAACCTCTCCTGAGTCACAGTGCATGAGGCTGAACTCTGGTTACAAGGGACAAAAATCCAACTCTAAACTAGGTTAAATGTATGACATCATCAGGTCTGCCTCTGTCTCTTTCAATTCTAGGGTCCCTGTATTTCATTCTAATAGCATACTGCTTCCTCCATTTGGCTAATGGAGGAGGATCTCAAAACTGACATCACTCCAGAAAGACAGCATCTCTTTCTTTCAACAACTATATATAAAATCCTAGAGACTCTGATTGCCCTAGCTTGAGTCTTGTGCTCATCCCTATCCAGGCCTAAGTCAGGCATCTACCTTTGTAGACAGGGAGAGAAGATTAATGACTAGGATTGCCAGTTAAGATACAGGATGTCCCACTAAATCTGAATTTCATCTGAACAACAAATAAGTTTTTAGTGTTGGTCCCATGCAATATTTGGGACATACTTATACTAGAAAGGTATTTATTGTTTATCTGAAATTCAAATTTAAATTCTAATTGTTCTGTGAGATATTTGGGACCTACTTATCTGATTTGCATGTTAGCAAATGTAGGACAGTCCAGGAACTCACAAGCAGGTCAGATAAGTTTCTTTTTTGTTTTTTAAAAAAGATTGGCACCTGAGCTAACAACTGTTGCCCATCTTCTTCTTCTTTTTTTTTTCTTTCTGCTTTTTCTCCCCAAATCCCCCCAGTACATAGTTGTATATATATATTTTTTTAGTTGTGGGCCCTTCTAGTCGTGGCATGCGGGACACCGCCTCAGCGTAGCCTGATGAGTGGTGCCCTGTCTGCGCTCAGGATCCAAACCAGCAAAACCCCGGGTCACTGCAGCGGAGCAAGCAAAGTTAACCACTCGGCACGGGGCTGGCCCCAGATAGTTTCTGTATGATGTTCTGATGCCTACATGGTTTGTACCACATCCACAGAACACTACAGACATCCCTGCTACCACCACCTCTGCCGGCAACCTACTACCTCCTTTGCTTTGCATATTCTTAGAGGAGTTGTTAGGTGTGCTGTCTTCTACCGCTGATTTTTGAAGAGGTTTCTGGGACCCAGTTTTCAGTGATTATGTACAACTGCACTGTCACCCAAAGGCCTCAGGCACTAGCCCAGACATCAATCTGATAGGCAAACACCAAGCCATTCAGAATTTCTCTTCCATCATGATGACTTTCTCTTCCACCAGGATGAGTTATCTCCTAGGAGGGACATAGGCCCCTCTTGCAAACAACCCTCAGGAAAGCCACTAATCCCCCAGAGAGAGCTCAGACTCAAATTAGGACAGCCTATGACTCAAATCCCCTTGATTCAAGGCATGGTCTTGGCGTTCTAGAGTTGACTATCTAAATAATTCAAGGATACCTGTATATACTAAAAAAATTATATCAAAACCTTAATGTGCTATGTGAGTTAAATATTGAGCGAAAAATAAGTTGAATTGATAAAAAGTATTTAGATCTGCAACCAGACCTGTCATCTGGGGTGTCAACAGTCCAGTGTGTCTGGATCAGTTGTGAGATATATCACAGCACTGACCGCTTCACAAGCTTTATAAAATAGAGTAGCATATCCATCACAGGAAACATAGAATAATCAAATTAGGATGATTTGAGAATGGTTTATTTATAAAGATTCTATTTCCAAAGGTGGAGACGTAGGGTAGCCGTAAGACATAATGCAGGAACCCCAGGGCTAGTAACAACTTGGCTGATACCAGCCCCAGGCTCTAAGAGATGAGAGACGGGAGAGATAGCTCAGATCCAGAAAGAGAGAGTCATGGAAAGCAGTGCTACTAAAGTGTGGCCTGTGAACTGATTCCAGTTTCTGAACTTAGCGGTCTGCAATGAGATAAGAGTATAAAAATTGAGAGTATTTAACAACTTCTTCAATAATTTGACATCACTGAGATATCCAAGCCTGTGATATCTTGTAATAAAAAACAAACAAGATCAGGGCCGGCCTGGTGGCGCAGTGGTTAAGTGTACACGTTCTGCTTTGGCAGCCTGGGGTTTGCCGGTTCGGATCCTGGGTGTGGACATGGCACCGCTTGGCATGCCATGCTGTGGTAGGCATCCCACATATAAAGTAGAGGAAGTTGGTCATGGATGTTAGCTCAGGGCCAGTCTTCCTCAGCAAAAAGAGGAGGATTGGTGGCAGATGTTAGCTCAGGGCTAATCTTCCTCAAAAAAAAGAAAAAGAAGAAGAACAAAGCAATAAACAAAATCAGTCCATGATGAAATGGAAATGAAAACAACAAAACCTGGTCCTTTATCATGAATGGTTTGGGAAGCCCTGGTGTAGAGAAAGCAGCCTTGAGGTGAGCATTCCCTTTAGTTAAGGGACACAGGCAGAGCTCGAGGTCATCCAAGGGCTGGAGCCAGGGAATTAAACACTCGGACTTCGTTCTTCTTTCCTCCTATCTCCTGCCAGTGCCACCCATTGGCCAAACCCAACCAGAAACTAGGGAGAGGGTACGGAAGCACTGCTTTTTGTTTTTTATTGATGTAACATTGATTTATAACATTATATAGATTTCAGGTGCACATCATTATAATTCAACTTATGTATACATTACATCACGTTCACCACCAAAAGTCTAGTTTCCTTGTATCACTGGTACAAATGTGCACCTTCATTCATTTTCCCCTCCTACACCTCCCACTTGCGCTCTGATAACCACCAACATAACATGTTCTCTGTATCTATGTGATTGTTTGCTTCTGCTGCTGCTGCTGTTTTTATCTTCCACATCTGTGTGAAATCATAAGGTATTTGTCTTTCTCTGTCTGACTTATTTCAGTTAACATAATACCCTTAAGGTCCATCCATGTTGTCAGAAATGGTAAGATTTCATCCTTTTATGGCTGAGTAGTATTCCATTGTATATCTACACCACATCTTCTTTATCCATTCATCCATCAATGGATACTTAGATGGTTCCGTGTCTTGGCTGTTGTGAATAATTTTGCAGTGAACATAGGGTGCATACACCTTTTCAAATTAGTGCTTTTGTGTTCTTTGGATAAATACCCAAAAGTGGAATAGCTGGATCATCTATTTTTAATTTGAAGAATGTCCATACTCTTTTCCATAGTGACTGCATCAATTTACATCCGCACCAGCAGTGTAAAGTGTTCCTTTTCGCCACATCCTCTCCAACATTTGACACTTCCTGTCTTTTTAAGAATAGCCATTCTGACAGGTATGAGGTGATATTTCACTGTAGTTTTGATTTGCATTTCCCTAATATTGATGTTTCAAGAAAGCACTGTTGATGCAGTCTAAACTGACCCAAACCTGCCAGAGCCCCAAGGGAGCGCAGGGTAGGGGAGAGTGAAGGGAGGGTCTGGAGGAGCAAACTGAAGATTTCCGGCATAAGCAAACCCAAAGTTATTCCTGTTACATCTCTGCTTTGGATTACATTCCAATTCTAGCATGGAAGAGAAAGTATATTTTTTTTAGCAGAAGTATCTTCCCCTTCAATAAGTGCTCCTTGAACTATGTTGAAGGCTTGGGGAGCTCTTTGAGGCAGGGTATTGGAATGTCCCACTTTTGCTTGTACCATTCCTTAAGGACATTACCAAAGCAGCAGTGGAGCAAAAAATAGCTGCAAGGTCTTCTAGGATGAG